CAGAGAATAAACACATTTAGAAAATTTTTGAAAATTTATGATTTGATCAGGACATGATCTAATTAAGTCATGTAAAATTGTTTTTCTGTGAAAATACTTTGGTCCCTCATGCATAAAACTCATCCAGATGAATGGTCTGGATAAGATGAAATATGATTAGGAAGAATGTATATTATGATTGCTGAATGAGACACACTGATTTTGTAACAATTGAGAAAAACAAGCAAACAAAAAACAAGCACCCAGGGAGGCAGAGGAGAGGGGATAAGTCATTAGAGAACTTTTTGTCAGAACTGCTCCTAAAATCTTTCCCCTCCTACCCAATAAAAGCATCAGTGTTGTCTTGCAAGCCTCTGACAATACTTTGAATTCAAACTGACTGCTGAGCCTAAGATCACACCTGACTATGAGACAGCAGGGGGTGGTCCCAGCTCCTGCACTTTCTATGCAGACCACCTCCAGATGATGGACTCACATGAGACAGATGAACTCGTGTCATGGAAGAGCAAAACTGTTTGGAATTGACTGCCTTCAGGTATTCTGTCCAAAACCAAGAACTAAACTAAATTAATTGGACTAGACTGGGAACCCTGGGACAGGAGGCCCCCAAGTGGGAGGCTACTCTGGAGGCCCCATTAACCTGTACATCCTTACTCATGTATGTTCTTCTTGGGGTATTCTAACAACTGTACACTATTTTTTCCCAGAGTTCCATTTGTGCCTTCTAGTAATATACTTCTCGTGTGTGTGATCTGACTATCATTACACTGCCTGGAAGACATTCAAGTCAGCTTCAACTTACTGGTCAGAGTTGTGTTGTGCCTGAACCAGTGCCTGAGCTTGTAAAAAAGGTTAATATAAAAACCTAAGTAGAAAGACACCTAGCTTTCTAAAATAGACCTCTGTGATTCCTGGGACATTTTTAACTTGCAAAATCCAGGACGCAGGCCGGGCGCGGTGGCTCACGCCTGTAATCCTAGCACTCTGGGAGGCCGAGGTGGGCGGATTGCTCGAGGTCAGGAGTTCAAAACCAGCCTGAGCAAGAGCGAGACCCCGTCTCTACTATATAAAAATAGAAAGAAATTAATTGGCCAACTAATATATATAGAAAAAATTAGCCGGGCATGGTGGCGCATGCCTGTAGTCCCAGCTACTCGGGAGGCTGAGGCAGGAGGATTGCCTAATCCCAGGAGTTTGAGGTTGCTGTGAGCTGGGCTGACGCCACGGCACTCACTCTAGCCTGGGCAACAAAGCGAGACTCTGTCTCAAAAAAAAAAAAATCCAGGACGCATAAAGGAATAAATTGCAATCAATACTGTGCGTTGATCTCCCCTGGCTGAGTGGGGTCCTACTCATGAAGATGCCTTGTCCTAAAGCCAAGGAAGTATGAACCTTGCAGAAGAGCATTAACATAGCAGGTCTGAGACCACCGTATGTAGAAAATCCTGCTTCAAGCTGGGCCCTTGATTAGAGTATGGGAATTTGTCCAGTAACCAGTTTCCTACACTAATAGTAAGCTTTTCTAATTGATACATGTGGCTCATTGTGCCTAAACTGTAAAAACATTGTGAATACCCGCTTTCCTTCTACAAGTGTAAAATTTTTTATATCCTAGGCAGAGGGTGCCTATGTGACTAGCTCCCAGTAAAAACCTTGGGCACTCAGTCTCAGATGAGCTTCCTAGTAGACAGCACTTCACATGTTGTCACAACTCATGGCTGCAGGAACTAAGTGTATATAGTGTGACACCTCTCGGAGAGGACTCTTGGAACCTTGTGCCTGATTTGCTATGGCCTTTGCTATATGGGCCTTTTCCCTTTGATGATTGTTCTTTGTATCCTTTCACTAGAATAAATCTTCTCTGTCAGTATGACTGTATGCTGAGTCCTGTGACAAGTAGTGAATCTTTGAATTTAGGGGTGATCTTGGGCACCTCCATAAAGTGGGTGTTCAAAATGATTTATTATAAAATTGTGTATATGTTGGACAATTATGTTGAGTATTTAAGCAAGCTAGACTTTACTTGGATTAGGTGATGTCAGGAGGTGGGGATAATTTTATAACTGCACATCTTTTTAAATGTGTTATCTAGAAATAGGGAATATTAGAGAGAGGCTAAAACTGTAATCAGTAAAGTAGCAGCAGTTACTCACACTTGCCAGGATAGGGGAGTGTTTGGTCATCTTTGTGCTTTGAACAACATCCATATGTTTTTCTGTGTTCAGACACAATTACAGAGTAGTAACCTTTTAATCTTGATCCATCACTATTGCAGAGGTCCTTCTCTTATGCTGGTATTGTAAGATTATTTATGTTAAACAGGAGAGCACCTGTGAGTGCTAGGCTATTTCTCCATGTCAGTGGCTGCATTTCTTTTTCTCAAGACTGTGATCTGTAACAGCCTTTTCTGTTGTTGGCGGAATTTTGAGAAATTTTTCTAGATAACTTTTACAAATTTAACTGGTCTAGATAAAACATGAGGAGAGATTCAAGAGATCTGTGATTTATTTCCAACATTATTACTCGTTCACCATATGACCCAAGCCATCATTTTCCAGATAAAAAAGCTAGAAACCAGAATATATTGTGAAGATTTTATAATAAATTGTGGACTCACAATAAAACTCTCAAGCTCCAAACAAAAAGGCAGTCATAAAACACATTTTGAAAGAAATTGGGAATGCTTTTGGAAATAAATAATTTCTTTTTTATAGCAGGAGTATAATGTTTTATTTACAAGTAATTTACAATTTTATTTTTAGCCGGGCGTGGTGGCTCACGCCTGTAATCCTAGCACTCTGGGAGGCCGAGGCGGGCGGATTGCTCGAGGTCAGGAGTTCGAAACCATCCTGAGCGAGACCCCGTCTCTACTAAAAATAGAAAGAAATTAATTGACCAACTAAAAATATATATACGAAAAATAAATTTTATTTTTAATTGACAAATTAAAATTATATATATTTATCATGTGTAACATGTTGTTTTGAAATATGTATACATTGTGGAATGGCTAAATAAAGCTAATTAACATATGCATTACCTCATAAACATCATTTTTTTATGGTGAGAACACTTAAAATTTTGACATAAATAGCCTCTACCTGGAAACTCATATATAGTCTTTTATTTTCTAAAAGTTCATCTTGAATTTAAATGATAGCAAAGCCATAATGGACAGGGAAGTTATAATATGAAAACAATAGCTTAAGTTATAGGTAGGACTTTATTTTCATTATTTAATCCTATGTGGTTAATAATAAGAACAACCACTAAAAGTAATCTGTGCAAGATACAGGGATGTTGTGACTTTGTCTATGAAAACAAATTCCTGCTTGTTTATTTTTAAGAGATATTATTGGGAGGTTGGGGGAATAGTTGGTTTTGGTGGTGAAGTGGTATGAGTATATTGGGGATTTAAAAGCCCAGTGAATGGCCGGGCGCAGTGGCTCATGCTTGTAATCCTAGCACTCTGGGAGGCCTAGGCGGGCAGATTGCTTGAGGTCAGGAGTTCGAAACCAGCCTGAGCAAGAGCAAGACCCGTCTCTACTATAAATAGAAGGAAATTAATTGACCAACTTCTATATATAGAAAAAATTAGCTGGGCATGGTGGTACATGCCTGTAGTCCCAGCTACTCGGAAGGCTGAGGCCTGAGCAGGATGGCTTGAGCCCAGGAATTTGAGGTTGCTGTGAGCTAGGCTGACACCACGGCACTCGCTCTAGCCTGGGCAACAAAGCGAGACTCTGTCTCAAAAAAAAAAAAAAAAAAAAAAAAAAAAAAAAAAAAAAAGAAAAGGAAAAGCACAGTGAAACCTCTTGACCTCTACGTTAAACCCACAGAGGCATTGACTTGCTGTTTCTTTCATTCCATTATATAGATTTCAAAGGGGAAACATTTTTGTATCAGCTATAGTGTCATCAAAAGATAATCTAGGCAATTGGCGATTTTGTTTTTCTGGAAACCTTTGGATTATTCTCTACACTTAGTATCTTGGAAATAGACCCACGGGATTTAAGTTGCCTTGTGTTTGGAAGATCTACTTCCATGCACCACATAGTTGGAAGGTGTGTCCGAATAAATAAACAAACAAACAAATAAATAAATAAATAAAATCTGCCAGAAACTGTACATTCAATACTTCTGTCACTGTTCTAATTTAATGTAAGGTAGAGGGTTGACCTAGTGTTTTGATTTTATTCCATCATTTTAGAATTATAATTATTAAAGGGCTACATAAGACTTCTATTGCCACCTAATTAAAGTTCTGTGATATTTTTAGTAGAGGCAAGGGATTTCCATACTTAAATGAAAGACAAGCTAAGGCAAGCTGCGCTCTTTGGAAATTGGTAATATGGCTAATTTACATTTATGCTTATAAAAATTTACAAAAAACTTTTGCAAGGAAGGAGTTAGCAGTAGTTACTGAATTGTTACTGCATGCCAAATAAAAACTCTACTCATTTGGTATAATTATAATGTGCACAAACCATATTTGCTTTAAGGGCAATATAGTAATTGCAACCAGAACTATAAATTTAAACAGAAGTATTAATTATGCAATTATAAAAGACAATACAGGTACATATTTTTCTCCTTTCTCTTTGTGATGGTTAATAAATCTTTCATGTATCTGTAGACAGTCATATGTGAGATATATTCCGAGAAATACGTAGTTAGGCAATTTCATTATTGTGAGCACATTGTAGAATGTACTTACACAAACCTAGCTGGTATAGCCTACTACACAGCTAGGCCACATGGTATAGCCTATTGCTCCTAGTGTAGACAATGGTAAGTATCTGTATATCTAAACATACCTAAAAATAGAAAAGGTACGGTAACAATATGGTATTATAATCTTATGGAACCACTATTGTTGACCAAAATGTCATTATGTGATACATGACTGTATATCCTGTTTGTTCTGTTTCTCTGGAAAACTCTGACTAATGGAGTAACGTATTTCTAGGCTGATTTATTTTATGCTTCTTGTCCTTTAGAAATTGGATGGTGACAGCGGAGTGTTTTGAAATGCTTGGGGTGTGCAAGTCATATACTCAAAGAAAAAGTGTAAACTAAGTGGGACCTGCTGGTGGACAGAAGACACTGAAAGTAGTGAATCATTTGTCCTGTGACCAAAGTCCTACCTGTATCTCTCTGGTGATTCTGGCTCCTTCTGAAGGGAGGTGAGTTGTTTACTATCGGAAAGACTGGGACTTCTTTCTTCTTTCCTCAATCATTCGTTCATTCATTTATGGTTTCTAATTGTACAACTCATGAGTATGACTTGTAAAAAAATAGATAGGAAATGATGAAAAATGTACAGAAGAAAAAGAGCGTTGAAATTATTCCAGATTCCATGCAGCTCCACATATAGCAACTGGCTATATGGCCTTGTGGTATTTAACTTTTATTGAAGAAAACTTTACTCTGATACAGAATACTCTGATACTCTGTTTTGTTTTAACAAAACAAGTAGGAAGACTTTATTTAGGGCTATTGCAACAGGTGTCAAGACTATCACAATAGGGAGAGAGATGAGATTTAGCTCCAGGAATAATAAGAACAAGTGGGGATTTATAGCCAAGTAGCAGGTTGGGGTGGGGGCGAGGGAATGGGAGGATGGGCATTGGTTGGTGGATGGAAAATTACTGAGAGGAGACATAAAGAGTAAGGGAAATTCTTGCTAAACTGACCTAACAGGATTCTTTCTTAAGGCAAGCCAGAGTGATCCCATATCACTTAGAGGATGGTGAGGATGAAGAATTTGATCAGATATGGAGAGTGATCAGATATCAAGAGTAAGAAGATTCTCTTTAAACTAGCTTAGCAGGATTCTTGCTAAAACTGGACTAGGCATGCTTGAGGACAATGCCCAAGGACAAGGCCTAGTTGAGAAGAGGGCTCAGAAGAGCCTGTCTAAAGTTCTGTCAAGGAGAGCATATTTGTCACCTTTTAAATTTTGTCTATGCAAATTAGGTGTGTGTGTGTGTGTGTGTGTGTAGGTGGACAGCTAGATCAAAAGAGAGATTTAGAAAATTAAGATCCTAGTATATATCATACTTTTTAGTTCTCTTTGGTAATGTTTCATGCAATTCAGATATTTCTCTTTTGGTTTGAAGACTTCTTCTATGGCTATAAAGAGAAATTTACAAATCTGAAGTCAAATGAATGAATCTATCCTTTATTTTATTCATTTATTATTTATTAAATGATTTAAATCACTTAACTATCAATAAATAATGTTTTAAATCATAATTTTGAAGACCATTTATTGACATAGGAAGATGTTCATGATAGGAACCTAAGAGAGGGGAAAAGGGCAGGTATTGAAGAGTCAATACAATGTGAGCTTAATATTTTAAAATTTCTATTTGTTGGCTGGGCGCGGTGGCTCACGCCTGTAATCCTAACACTCTGGGAGGCCGAGGCGGGTGGATTGCTCAAGGTCAGGAGTTCAAAACCAGCCTGAGCGAGACCCCGTCTCTACCATAAAAATAGAAAGAAATTAATTGGCCAACTAATATATATATATATATATATATATATAATCAGCCGGGCATGGTGGCTCGTGCCTGTAGTCCCAGCTACTCGGGAGGCTGAGGCAGGAGGATTGCTTGAGCCCAGGAGTTTGAGGTTTTGAGCTAGGCTGACGCCACGGCACTCACTCTAGCCTAGGCAAGAAAGCGAGACTCTGTCTCAAAAAAAAAAAAAAATTCTATTTGTTGTACATACACAAGAAGAAAAGAAGGAAAGGCACCGACATGTTCACATTAATTCTTTCAGTATGGTGAGATTGCTAGTGCTTTCTGTTATCTGCTGTAAATACTTCATTTTCCAAATTTTCTAAAATGAGCTTATATTATATTTATTACTAGAAAAAGAAAAAAGAATTTTGTAATTATAGAACCTAAAAAGAAAAGTAAAGAAAACAAAGCAATGTAGGACTCATAACTACGGGAAGTTTGAGACTGATACATGAACCTGAACCTTGACTGAAACTTCACATATTACTTGAGCCTTCTGACTTAGATGTATTTTAAATAAGATGTGTTTTAATTAAGCCCTCCACACACACATTAGGAGTGGTTAATTGACATGATAGACAATGAGAAAAACAACATCTTTTCTTCATATTCTACATAAGCTACTTGGTCCATCCTCTACCCAAGACAGCCTCAAGGACCTATCAATTTTGTGACTCCTTAACATATACATTTTAGCCCAATGTAAAGAATTTCATTCCTGTTCTTCTCTTCCTTTTTCTACTACTGTTTCTCCTCTTCCTCTTTCTCATTATTATCAAGAAGATTTATTAAGTGGAAATCTGGATATGCAGGAAGTGACACAGGCACCATGTCAAAAATAAAACAACCAATTACCAGTCTCTAGAAACCCATCTTCTAAAAGGGAGGCCGTGAAGTAGAGTGAGAAGCACTGAACCAATACCATATTTGTAATTTTCCCAAACACACACACACACACACACACACACACACACTCCTCTAAAAACCTGGAAAGAAATGCACTAACACCTTAACTATGAGTATTTCTGTGATTATAACACTAAACTGTTATAAAACCTGTTAAATCTGGAATATCATAACAAACACTCTTTAAAGATTAAAATCTTTAATTTATAGGTGGTCTGTATTGAACTATCACTAAAACAACCCGTTTTCCTACCCTAGGGAATTTGTAATGTCACATGGTATTCCATCTTCTGAATACATTATTATGTCTTTCACCTTTTACCTAGTGCTGAGTCATTAGAAATAGTATATTAATAATATTAGAAATATTTTTCTAATTTATGCAGAATTTCAAGGCAAATGTTTTGCTTTTCAGTAAAATCACTTCGCATATGAGCATTATTTTATTTTGCCTCCCAAAGGGCCAGGATAATTGGCAATGCAGAAGCAGTACTCTGGGATATCAATAATCCAGCTGTAAGGTGTGAATTTTTCATATATGACCCTGTGCACTGGTCACTGTAGGCCTTCCTTTGCCCCTACCCCCATTCCATCACATACCACTTCTCCCCAGGAAATAGTATTAAGGTTGATCCAATCTAAAAAATTGCACACCCTTCACAGAGATTTCGAGAAGCCAAAAGTAGAAAACAGGCTGGGCGCGGTGGCTCACGCCTGTAATCCTAGCACTCTGGGAGGCTGAGGCGGGAGGATCGCTCAAGGTCAGGAGTTTGAAACAGCCTGAGCGAGACCCTGTCTCTACTGTACATAGAAAGAAATTAATTGGACAACTAAAAAAATATATATATAGAAAAAGTTAGCCGGGCATGGTGGCGCATGCCTGTAGTCCCAGCTACTTGGGAGGCTGAGGCAGGAGGATCGCCCAGGAGTTTGAGGTTGCTGTGAGCTAGGCTCATGCCACAGCACTCACTCTAGCCTGGGCAACACAGTGAGACTCTATCAAAACAAAACAGAACAAAACTAGAAAACAAAAAATCCCCGGGGAGTTACCACCTAAAGATCTTCACTGCTAATTATTTTTGTATTTTTCCCCCTTCTCTTTTGAATATTATGCTTTTGAGTCACGTTTCTGGCCACTAAAATCTCCCCTCACCTTCTTTTATTTGCTCTTTCACATTAAAGTTTCCTCAGGCCTACTTAAAGCAGTTTCAATCTGCTTCTCCCCCCGCGCCCCCCCACCCCCTTCTCGAAATTCAGGGAGCTGCTACCGGGGGAAAGATGGGTGGCGCTAGTTATATGACGCATCTAATCATTCATTGGACGAGGGCTTGTCAATCATAGCTACTCAGCAAATAGGGTAAGCTCTGTAAGCAAACTACTGTTTAAGGGTCATCTTCCGCCCAGTCTACTTGCAGCACTTCCTGTCGCCAAGGCAGTTCGTGGCAAAGGCCTTTAATCCGCCGCCTCAGCCTTAGGCTTGTTGCTGTTTGGCGTCCATCTGGCCCTCCCTACTTCCGCCCCCTCAGACCAGCTTCCACAACCGCTTCCGCCTCCGTCTTAGCCCTCGCGGGTGCGGTTCCTGTGGCCCAGGCCAAGCCATCTCCTCAACTTCGGTGGATCTTTCCCTGCCAAAAAGCCAGTGATGGAAGGGTTCGGGGAACACGGCGCAGCCGGCGAAGTGAGCCCATTACTCGACGTTGTGGCAGCCGGCGCCTCTCCTCAGGCTTTGATGGAGCCCTCCTCAGAGCCAGACTTTACCGAGAGCCTGCCTCTGGCGGTCAGGTTTCGAGTGTACGCTCTCTTAAAGCTTCAGGGCAAATCCGCCCGCCTGGAGTCGAAGTACCTGAGGGAATTTCATTCTATTGAGAGGAAGTTTGCCAGCATCTATGGGCCCTTGTTGGAAAAGAGACGCCAGATCATCAATGCACTGTACGAGCCCACGAAAGAGGAGTGTGAGGTGAAGTCCAAGGTCGAGGACTATGACTATAATGAGGTGACCGATGACTGGAATGCTCAGGTGTACAGTCCGGAGGAGAATCCGGAGTATGAGGACTTGGAGGAGTATTGTCAGGAGAATTTCGAGGATGTCGAGGAGGCGTTTGAGGGGGATGGAGGAATAGAGGGATATTATATGGAGGGGGAAAAAGAGGATCCTATAGGAATCCCTGATTTTTGGCTCACAGTTTTAAAGAATGTTCCGGAGATCACTCCGCTGATTAAGAAATATGACGAGCCCATTCTGAAGTTACTGGAAGACGTGAAAGTCAAGTTTTCAAAACCCAACGAGCCACTAAGCTTCACGCTGGAATTTCACTTCGAACCCAACGACTACTTCACAAATGAGGTGCTGACCAAAACATACATGCTCAAGTCTAAGCTAAATTACTCCGACCCCCACCCCTTCAGAGGATCTGCGGTGAAGCATTGCATTGGCTGCAAGATAGACTGGAAGGAGGGAAAGAACGTCACTGTGCAAACCATCCTGAAGAAACAGAGGCACAAGTTTTGGGGACTGTTGCGTACCGCGACCCAGGAATTTCCCCGGGAATCCTTCTTCAACTTTTTCAGTGTTCTCCGCTGGGGTCTGGATGCCGACGAAGATGAGGAAGATGTCCTCATCGCTCACACTTTGCGCACCTTTGTCATCCCAAGAGCTGTGTTATACTTCACAGGAGAAGCCCTTGAGGTCCAGCAAGAGGGGATGATAAGAGAATGTAATAACCCGGCTTATGATGAAATCACTCAGGAGAATTGGGCAACTACGGCTGAAGATGCTAAAGGCCAAGACCGGGACTTCCCGGCAGAAGACATCGATCGCTGAAGCAGAATGGTTGATGTATGTAGGCCCCCTGGGTTAACAACCGGCATTTACAATAACCAAAACTTAACCATTAGTTACTTGCAGTCTTAATGTGTGTCTCTTCTTGGTAGTCTCAATATAGAACTATGTCCAAATGTATTTAACGAAGCATTTCATCTAACACTCTAATGCTGTAAACTTTGTTAAGAAATTTAGAAGGTGGTGAATTCTCTAAGCATGTGAATACCTTATTATTGTGAACCCGTGTGGCTTTTGTCAGGTTGCTGTTAAGTCTCCAGCTATGTGAAAATTACTAGAACTTGTAACAGATCTATCTGTATGTTTTTTTTTCCCCTTGGAAAAAACAAAGGGAGATAACATTTTTTTCCCCAGCCCTCTCAGTGAGGTGAATGGGCTTTATTATGCTTGCATTAGCTGTGACTTCATCTCTATGTTATAGAAATATAGCAAGTTGTACTAAAATACATATGATTTATACTTTGTGAAACTGCTAGTATAAGAACGAACATTTGCAGCAAATCCACATTTAATGTTAGTTACCTTGTTTGTAGGCTCCTATATTTTATGTTGTATAGTGATCTACTCAAAACATGGTTGCATTATTGCTTATCAGTGAAAAGTGGTGAAAAACATTTTTCCTAAGGCTGCCATAAATTATACCGTGTACTGCTGCAAAGTGGAGTTAAAATGTGCATTTTTGTTTCTGGAATATTCTCATCTTTCATGGAAATGGATCACATCATTTGTTAAACTTTATTTCCCCATGTTTGTTCATTCCAAAATAAAATTAATACAAATGTTAAATATTGTGTTCCTTCTGAGGGTATTAGAGTGACAAATACGGCCTTGCGTCTCAAGTGCCAGGAACAAGATTTGGTTGGGAGGTCTCAGCAGGCCAGACTTATCCATCGGGCATGGTATACACTGTGCCTAGAGACACCAGATATTAATGCACTGTATGAGCCCACTTTACTTTTCAGAGCCCACAAAAATATTTTAATTTCTTTTAAAATTAGAAGAAAAATGAACATAATGTGTACATAATAATGAATCCAGCCTGCATTATGTTCGTCTTACACCAACACAGATGTAAATGTTATTTATGTATATATATATGTGACTGCCATAGCGGAAAGGGCCTAGGAAGGTAAAACTGCCAAGATTCAATGAAAATAGTAAGGAAGCCCTGGGTCCCATCTTTAGAAAGAGGTGAAAGAGTGAGAGCAGCGAGTGGTCCAAAAGGGTGGTGATGTGACAAAGGAGAAGGGAAGAGGGAGGGGCGGGAGGAAAGAGAAGAAACAGCAAAGGTGGGGTTGTTGGGGAAGAAGGGAATGTGGGGTCTTTGAGGGATAGTGAAAGGCCTGACTGGCCAGAAGGGAAAGAGTTAATAGAATGGGCTGGAGAGGGGCTGAATGGAGCCAGATGTTGGTTGGGACCTAGCCTGGGAGAAGTTGGAGTATGTTCTGCAAAGGAGAAAGAAAAGGAGAGAGGATCAAGGAGGGGTGGGGGGTGAGGTAGATGAGAGATCTACATAGCAAAGAAGCAGGGGATGAAAGGGTGAAGCTTATTAGATGTGGAAGAGCATTTCTTGGTTAAAGGTTATAGAAGTTCCGATTTAATGGTTTTGATACATTTTGAAAAAACCATCAGTACACCATCCCAGAAGAGGGACCTGAAGAGGGACTAGAGGAGCATTGGCCTATTGTAAGTAAGCTTTTATCATGTTCTTTCATTGCCAAAATACACTTACAGATAAATTAATTGATTATTTTGTAGTCAACAAACACTTTATATTGTACTATTTCTATATGCCAGATACTGATCAGAGCACTTTACAAATATTAATCTCTGTGATATTTGTTTTATAATTGAAAAAGTGGTAGTTTTCTCCTATTAATAAAAGTAATAAATGCAGGAGGGGAGGCTGTAGCAGGACAGAATTAATTATAATACCAACAAATACTTCCTCCCTAAACCTCACTTTAACTACTAACAGGCATACAATTTTGAATCTTGCTTTAAAAAAAAAACCTTACCATCATACTATTCGTATTTTCCTATATTAATACATTTTAAAGCATAAATGTTGGTTACTGGATTCTAATTTACATAATGAGGTTAGCAAATGTTCTGGCTTTTTTTTTTTTTTGGAGACAGTCTCCCTCTGTCGCCCAGGCTAGAGTGAGTGCCGTGGCGTCAGCCTAGCTCACAGCAACCTCAATCTCCTGGGCTCAGCGATCCTCCTGCCTCAGCCTCCCGAGTAGCTGGGACTACAGGCATGTGCCACCATGCCCAGCTAATTTTTTCTATATATATTTTTAGTTGTCCTTCTTTCTATTTTTTGGTAGAGATGGGGTCTCGCTCAGGCTGGTTTCGAACTCCTGACCTTGAGCAATCCGCCCGCCTCGGCCTCCCAAAGTGCTAGGATTACAGGCGTGAGCCACCGCGCCCGGCCTATTCTGGCTTTTAATATTAAGACTTTTAATTTGAGTTCCTTTTTTGAACTTTAACCTCTAACGCATTTTCAAGCTCTATGAAGAGCTATATGGCAAGTCAGAAACAGGATTCATATCACTGATTAGCCAGGATTTCCACAAGAAATATAGTTACTAGAATGTAACTTGATCATTCCCAAATGTAGTCACAAACCTTGGAGATGGTATTTATCTATTCAACATGTATAACTAATCCTTTCTCTTCTTTTCAGCTCCAAAAATTGTATCATATTTTTCAGACATTTTTTGAACATGCAAGAACTTGAGAAATAGAGTCCTCTATTTAGGAGAAGCATAAATTTTAGTCCACTACAAAATGAATGGAAGGTCTAGTGCAAAAGTGTCAATGGAAATCATTAAATCAATTTAACTATAGGACTAAGATTAAAACCTGTATCATGGTTAAACAGAAAACAATTTAAGTGTTATGCTAACATTATCAATGTAGACATAATATAACTAGCAAAAATTGAGAGTAGAAAGGACATTTCTTTTATAGCAGGGGATCAAAAATGTGACAAGTTGAATAATAAATACATAAGTATAACATTAAATAATGTCCTAAGAAAAACAATATAGTCCACAAAAATTGGATAGTGATTTTTGCTATCACTACTCATAATAGCGAGTCAATGGATACTTCATAAAGAAACCAGTGATTTAGTATACAATAAAATTATGGTTATAAACATAATAAATAGAAAAAATTACAAACTTACCAAATTATCAGAAGGAAGATTCAAAACCAAACTAAGAAAACATATACTTTATAGCAAATCAGGAGGAAAAAAAGAAATAAAAACAGAAAGCCCAACATAGATATGGTTAAATGAAATGAGATGTGGCATCGGTCGCTTAGTAGTTGTGTGATTTCTTTGGCAAGTACTTAACTCACTAAGTGCTGGTTTCCTCATGTGTACAGTAAGTATAACGATACCTATCCTGATTGATATATATTTTGTATTCCTAGGATACCACCCTTCTTCTGTCAAATGTCCCTTTCTTTTGGAAAGCTGCTCCCCTTTCTACTCCTGGAATTTTAGCTCTAGTGGAGGTTGTGTCTCTGCCCGTGGAAATAGTCATGTGACTCAAGCCATTACAATCTAAGTCCTTCCCTGGAAATTTTTCAATTGTATAGAGGGAAGACAATCTTACCGTTGGATTAGAACAAAGGGCCTGAAAAAGAGCAAAAACGTATCATAAGTTGTCACTTTAAACTTCCCTTCCCCTTTTGGGAATGAAAACCTGCACTCCTGCCTGAAGCCAGTAATCAGAGGGGAGTGTTAGGGTGGGGACTGATGACATGGGCTGAAAAAGAATGCTTGATGCAAAGTTTAGAACAGTTTTAAGGAAAGAAAGTTTATTTTACTTCCCAAAGGTGGGAATGGCATGGCACAAGAGAAAGAAAGGAGAAGTGTCAGTAGGGAGGAAAAGGGATTTGGGTTTTTATTAGGGGGTAAAGGGAAGAAAAAGGTATTATTACAAGCTGGCAGCTGTAAAATGGCTGCATCTGTTTCCCACCCCCCACCTTTTTTTTTTTTTTTTCTTTTTTTTTTTTTTTTTTGAGACAGAGTCTCAGAGTCCTTGAAATCTGGGCTAGGAGGAACTGGGATCTGTGCTCCTTCTATCTTCTCAGTTCTTTTCAAGTGTTGTAAGAAACAAACTTTTAAAAACAAGTTAGGCCACAGGTGGTTAATCTTATAATTGGCTGTTGTGCTATGATCTTTCCCTTCAAAGGGGCAATTATGTGCTGTGAGTTTTCTCCTTTTCTCTGTGTTAGATAGTTTATTTTTCTCTGTTAGATAGTTTACTAACAAGGCCATCCTATCATGGCAGAGGAGTGTTCTTTGTTCATTGCTTTAAACCACAGATGATGGATCAACGGAATCGTTTTGGCAAAGGTCATGGGATCATCTTCACTAGAGATAATGCCAACCAGGACCACCAACCATAGTTAAACAGCAATAACCCAAAGCTGAAAACCCCCATTAAAAGCTCCAAATTTCTGCTTAAAGGGAGGATGATGGTTATTTAAGAGAATCTGCCACCCTCCTCATTTGTTAGCAAATTAATAAACTTCTCTTTTCTTTTTCTCAAACTACTTGTCCTCATTCTTCGTTTGGCCTCAGGTAACAGAATTTGGTGTCCCTGGGTGGGCCCATTGGCACCCTGGTGGAATGGCAGCCTGCAACTGCTGCCATGGTTCAAAGAGGTGGGGAGCAGCTCCAGGTCAAGCTGTGAGTCTTCTAGTAGGAGGGCCATCTTTTCAGGGTGAGAGAGTAAGAGACCACCCCAGCAGCTGCCAGAATCTGTTTAGCTCCAGGGAACTCCCATCTCTCCCTCCTCAAATTAGATGCAACTCCTCACGACTTGAATCTTTTTGAGGAAAAGGAAACACTTAGGAAGAGTCACAATGCTTTGGACATTTTTGGTAAGTCTCCAGCTTGTACTCTGAGACCCTTGATTCCACCCATTTGGTGAAGGTTTTTGAACCCTCAAACCCTGTAGCAGGGCATTTGTTTGTGGCTCCATTTGGGGGTGGAAGTCATGGTTGAGTGGAACTAGGGAACCTGGGCAATTCATTTTGGATTAGGAGATGTTGGTTCTCATTTGAGAATTTGGTTCTCATTTGTATGGTTCCCATTCATTTGATAAGGCCTTGGCATTTGAAATTGTTTACATTGGGAATTCCCTGTATTGTCTACTTATCAACTTGGGTTTGTTGTTTGTGAATTTTGTTTCAACATGGGAGGCTCCATTTTTATTCCATCCGAAAGCCCCTTGGGAAAAATCTTGGCTGAATGGTCAACTTATAGCTATAAATGTATGTCTAAAAAGAGAATGGTGTTATTGTAATACTACTTGGCCAATGTATGTGCTGGAGTATGAGAAGTGGCCATTAAATGGAACCTTAAATTATCATGCTATCTTACAACTGGAATTATTTTGTCAAAGGTGAGGTAAATGGGATGAGATCCCATATGTACAATCTTTCATGAAGTTACACAATAAAGAGGCTGAAAGACCTGGAACAAAGTTAATAGTAAGGACAGTCAGACCCTGGGTGATAAAATTGGGAAGGAATTAACCAAGTTGGATCTTTCAATCCATACTTCACAAAACTCACTCCCCACCCCACCCCCCACCAGCTGCCCACCCACTGGGGAAGGCACCACGAGTTTGGCCACACTTGAGCTTGCACTGCTAGGGCCCTACTGCACCATCTGCCATGGCCCGTCCCACTTTGAAGCACTGTGGCTG